TATCCGAGGTAGCTCCGATCATACTGGACAGGCACTAGCACACGGTCGCACATAGTCACTTCATAATGGGCCGGTCGGCGGGCGTCTCTGCGGCCCGCTCCGGCGGCCGCTGGCGCCGCGCCTGGTGCCGCCGCCGCCGCCCCCGCCCCCGCCCGACCGGCCGGCCGCCACCCGCTCGCGCTACGGCCTTCCCTGGGCGGCTGTGGCCGGCAGCCGCAGCAGCGCACCTCGAGCCGGCTCCACTGGACGGCACACCGCGAAAAACTAGCATAACAAAAGCGGCGGCGCGGCGGCCGCGGCGGCGGTGGTGGCGAGTGGCAGTCGGCGGTGGCTGGCGCTGACGGAAATAGCGCGGCACCGCCGCCGCCGCCGCGCCGACCTCGCGCCAGTGCAACCGGGGCGCGGCGCGGCGCGCCCGGCCCGACCGGCCATCAGACGCACGCCAAGAGCGCTGTGGCGTCGGCATCGGCGACATTGCGTCGGTGGTCGGTGACGCCGCTCGGCCGGCCACCGACAGAGACGTCAGCGCGGCGAGCGTCACGGCGCCGCCGATCTCGGCGGGAGGCCGACGGCGAGCGGCCGCGGCGAGACGGACCAGCTGCTCGGCCACCACCGGCCCACTCTCAGGGCGGAGAGAAGTGGCCTCGTGGCAGAAATAGCCGTCAGGTGATCAAGGTCCGGCCGTCGACAGGGCGTCGGCACCGACACGCGTCGGTCGCCACAGGGCTAGAGTCGGGCTAGTTAAAGTTTGCAGAAGGATTAACGTGCTTCCGCCAGCTTGAGCAAGCTGCTACAAGCCCGTCACCGCCGGCGACCTTCACACCGGATTAGTACAGTCGACAGCGGACTGTAGCCAAGGGACGTATTGAGCCCACGAAAGACTCCGCGCCAAAGTTCATAACTCGCAGCCTCGTTATGAGGGGCTAAATCATGAGTAAGAAATCACTGCTCCTTCCGGCCATTTCACACACATGAGTACCCCACAGAAACGCCATTTTAAAACACCCTGAAGTACCCTAGTATGTGAAAATGACCATTTCACGCCAGTATGAATGTATCGCTATAGTCACCGCGGTCCACTTCAAGCAGCGTTACATTCCCGTGTCACCCCACACCGCTCGAGTGAGCCGATGCGTGAATTGTGGTCGCCTGAGCTGCAACGAATGAAGTAACAAACTGCCTCACTTGCCGCAGACGCTTGCGATCGCCTAGGTTCGTTCATTTTGCGCTTCATTCAATGCGACCTCTTTAGCTCCCACGGCCCCTTAAGAACCTCTCTGCTCGCACTGGCGTCTGAACCAGGAAGCGCCTCGCTTGATGCACAGCGCTGGGTCGGGTGTTTGGCTCTCGGCTGACCGCCGGCCGCAGCGGTCCAGCCACCAACCGAGCCGTCCACTAATGGTGGTCGTTTGTATTCCGCTCTCCGACCAAGATCCCCAGCTGATCCCCAATAATAAACCGGGCTTTCAATGAAGAGCTCCCTGACCGGCGGCGCGCCTTCCAACACCGCCGGACTGCCGCGGGCCATCCGCTCACGTGTCGGTATTTTGCTGACATCATTCGGTGATGACCGCGCACGACGATAGGTTTATTGTTTGAGGTGATGCTCTACAGGGATAAATGCTGCGGAAACGCGCCAATATGTCCCCGAGGGGAGAACAATTAGATTAGGAGCGATGGGTTGAAACCTTGGGCCCACTACCTCTGTTATAAGAAGTATATCATAATACGAGTACATCTGAATTAACACTTTGAAATAAAGCAGCTAATTAGTTATTGAAATTCTTTGCTCTTATCAACCTTCAACAAAAGTCATACTCTCAACAAACGCAATTTCATTGTCACTATAACAATTTTAACGTCGCCAAAGCCACCGCTGGGCAGTGCGGCAGAGTGGACAGTCACTCGGAGCCGGCCGGCCGTACGGCTGCCAGACACACGCCGCGCCAGCCACGGTCGAAGCCTGTGGCTGTGTCGCTGGCGACACGACGCTACCAGCCGGTAAAAATGGCCCACTGTCCGAGGTGGCGGCGGCAGCGGAACGGCCGGGCGGCGCGCGTCCGATCTCAGGACTGGCGACTGGTGGTGTGCTGGTGGGGAGAGGGTGGGGAGAGGGTCAGGGAGACGACCGACCAGCGGCCGCAGTGGAACAGACCACCCGGCTGTGTGGCCGGGGAGAGTCTGGTAAGACCCTCGGAGGCAGAGCGCAGCGCCGAGCTCTGACCGACCGAGCAGACCGCCTCGGGCGCTCCGAGCTGCTCCGTTGGAGGCCGCCGGGCGGCTGTCGGCCGACAGCTAAAATGCCACGGGGCACCACAGTCGGTAATCGGGCTGGAAAAGTGGCCAGCCCAGCAGTTTACGGTCGGAACAGAATAAAAGAAATCAGCGGTGAAAGAAGGAGAGCAGAGAAAACGGCGACCGAGAACCCATAGCAGGGAAGCAGTATGTGTGTGGGGGGTGAGGGGGACAAGTACTGTTTATCAATTATCGCTCTCGGGACGAATGATGCATATTTGCATGCAATAAGTAGAAGTATGCAACATTCCAACACAGTGCACCTACATAGGGGAAGACGATTCCTCTCATGTGCAAGCGTTGTAGATTGTATGTATATGCTCATTGATGTTGTAGATGTTGGCATATTCTTCGCTGTCAACGCATAACGTCGCCTTTGAGAGACTGTATAAACAGAAAACATTTCAGTTTTGTCTTTCTTTGTTGTAAAATTTTGAAACAAAATAAAAGAACTAATGCCAACAATAATGAATGTTTCGCATTTTTGTGGTTAGCATCCAACCACTGAGCATGACAAAAAAGAAATAATTATTCATATGCCTTAGTAGTACATTACAAACGCGTGTCAAGAAACAGCGCGTAATACTGAAAGGTCTCTTATCTTGCAAAGTGTAGGCAGACTAGGACAATCACAGTTTGTACTAATGTTGTGGGTGGCTTTACTGCATTACTTTTCTGAGTTGTTCTGTCATTCCATTAATCTAAATGAATAACTATACAGTGGAAAATATGTCAACAACACATAGAGTTTCGAAGCTCATGAAAAGTGAAGTCGACATTCTACGAGACTCATGGCAGCTAGCGAGTCTCGAAATAATTATGCTGAGAAGCGTAAAACATCCTGTCCCTGATGATTTTTCTTGAATTTTATGATGAACTGTGGTCAAAATGTTTTTTTTTTCACAAATGCTCCCTTTCAACGAGCGACAGGCTCGTAGCCTCCCCGTGGTGTGAATCAATTAAATCAAATCAAAGGATGGTTATTAGCAGACATGTGCACGGATCCCAGACAACCAATCACGGAAATGATATAAATGGGAAAGGCAATGGGAACGTGTTGTTTTTATATTAAAATTGGTTACACATGTGTTTCGGGAATAATCCCTTGGTCACACCATATAAAAATAACTACCTATATCGAAATACAATCGAGGTCGAACGGGGTCGAATGGGGACGTTCACAGACACTCACAGATTAGCAATTCTATACATGACTGAAAACGTTACACTGCTTTTCGCCCGGAACCCCTACTTCCTGAAATCATTTTTCAAAATTAATTGAGCAGTGTGCTTGCTGAGTTTTACTTTACCCGAATTCCCATTGAAATTACTAATCGTAGAAATAAACGCTGCTTCCACCGCCTGTCGGTTACGCTTATTTAATCCCACGCATAGGTTTGACATCGCCGACCAGTTTGGCAAATGCCCCGCGTCATCCACATGCTGCACTATGGCGTTAGATTCTTGGTGATTCCGCAAATCTCTTTTGTGTTCCTCTACCCGTTTAGCTGCACCCCTGTATGTTTCCCCTATGTAGCTTTTTTTCACAAACGCCACATGGAATTTTATAAACCACACTGTTTTGGTTGCTTGCTTTCTTCTTGCGCCGTAAAATATCCTTAATTGTTGAACCCGATGGAGATGTAATGTTTAAGGCTCCCCTGGTAAAGCTTGTGATCACTTCAGATTGTTCTGACAGAGGTACTGATATATATTCCTTTCTTTTCGTGGCATTTGAATTGGAGGATCTTGAGCGGATCTTTATAGCTTTCTTTTCTAGCTGAAGGAGAAGACCCAAAGGGTAGCTGAGTTTGGTAAAAGTTGTCCTAATGTACTCTAGCTCGTTCTGTAAATATTCCTTTGAACAGATGCGAAACGCTCTGAGATAAAATCCCAAAACGACTCCAGTCTTCGTTCTTTGACTGTGCGACGAATAAAAATGGATAAAGTCATTCTTGTTGGTCGGTTTCCGGTATACGGAAAACATCAGTCTTGATTCTCGGTTCCAAATCAGTGTGTCTAGGAAAGGGAGCTTGCCATCTTGTTCCTGTTCGCAGGTGAACTGTATTTTCGGGTGCACGTCGTTGAGCTTTCGAAGAACACTGTCTAAATCTTGTTGCTTGTTCACTATAACCAGAATGTCATCCACGTACCTTAGCCATGTGGTGCTTTGACCGACGATGTTCAGAAAATGATCCGTTTCTAACGTTTCCATGAAGATACACGCGAGCACAGGACTAAGAGGGGAGCCCATCGCCAGACCGTCTATTTGTTTGTATTCATTGCCTTCAAATTCCAGGGCGCCAAACTCAACGCAAAGTCGGACTAGGCGAATGAAGTCCGCTTTCGGCACTGGCAGTGCAATGTCCTGGTTATCGTCCAGTGCTCGTCTTACTGCTTCCATGGCATCTTGTAAGGGGACATTTGTGAAAAGCGATTTCACATCAAAACTTGCTAGTTTTTTGTCATTCATTCTTTCATCCTTTATTCTGTTCAGCAAGTCACCAGAGTTTCGAAGGTGGGTTCCGCTTGTTTTTCCCAAAAGGTCCGATAGCGGCTTAGCAAGCTTTTTGGCCAGCTGATGCGGCGCGCTTCCCACACCCGAGGTTATAGGGCGCATTGGGTTCCCCGACTTATGTGTTTTTGGAAGGCCATACATACTTGGGGTGATGCACAGAACAGATTAGCTTTTCTATTAGTGTTATCGGCGAGGATCTTTGTCGATAACCGGCACATGCTGCCGAGCTCGCGATTTTGCTCTTCACTAATTTTATTTGGTTTGTGGTGGATTAAATTTGTAGACCCTTAGAATGGATCGGTAAGGACTTAAGTTATTTATTTGGAAAATTGTATGCTACGTTTTGGTTAAGTTTATTTACGTTATTTGTCTCTGTAAAACGTGCTACGACGTCAAAACAAACACCTGTGACCGAAACGAACAACGAAAACGATACGAAGAAGCGATTTGAGACAAAGCGACCCGCGTCTGTATGATATTCTTGGTGAGTAGTTGTTTGCGTTATTTTATGTTGTTATTTCTGTTACATTAGGTGACCTGATGGCTTATGTGTATGTGTAAGCTTGTGTTTGTTCGAAATTGCGTCTGAATTTAAGTTTTATTTGTTTGTCGTCTTTTGTATTGTCATGATTTTGTTTGTCCGACAGAAACCGTTGAAATACATGTAGTACGTTCATCGCGTTAGTCAAGAGGACGTGGGGCCGCTACAGTTTCAAGAATATCTGTCCCCGACTGCAGCATATCAGGATAAATCCTCTCTACCGTCACGCGGCCGGTTTGGACAGACGTCTACCCACAGTAAGTGACGAGCTGCTGCAGCTGCAGTTCAAACTTCGACATTGTGACCTCAGAAAATCCGGACACATGAACTAAGATCGTCTGAGAGACTAGCAGTAAACGTGATTATGCCCGTGCTATGTTGTTACTTGTACTTGGATTAAGTGAGCAAAGCAAGACATCTATGTTCTAATGTTTTTCATCGCGAAACGTCTGTTTTGAGCTTATATATTCAGGTAAATTTAGCAGGTGAAGCTTGGTGCGTTCACCACGGAGCGACCCCACTCTGTCTCGTGTAACTGAACTGTGACTAAGCATCATGGACAATTTGAGAGTTTCGGAATTGCGTGAGCAGTTGCGTCAGAGAGGTTTGAGTCAAAGGGGTACCAAAAAGACGCTTCTGCACCGGTTACGGACAGCTATGGCCGAGGCAGACACCGACGACGATTCCACTAAGCCGAGATCGACAAATTCACTACAGTATTCCACGAACTCTATAAGAAAAGCGGACCGATCTACCGAATCTTTATCTAGCTCTGTTCACTCTGCGCAATCTGGCTCTTGCATATCGGAATCACTGTTTATCAAGCAAGCCAACGAGGCTGCGAAAAGAGCGGGTTTAGAAGCCAGAATGATGCTTCTTGCTGAGAAGCAGAGATTAACAGAGGAAACAAGGTTAGCTAGACAGCGGGAGCTCGAACTAGAATTACAACAAGAGAAACTCGACCTGCAGATGCAAATATTGGATTCTGCAGCGCGAGAGAAAGAATTTGAAAAATTCCAGGTTCACCTCGAAAATAGTACAGCTGTCAATCCATCAATTACTAAGCAGGAGGCGCAAAGGGAAATTCGTCCTACACTTTTCAGAGAGAATAAAGCTACGGCAGCTAGTATGAGTGAAGATTGTGTAGGTGTCGAGGGCATGGTCTCGAGGGGGCAGAACACTGATGTTGAGGGCAGGTATTGTCTGACTGCTACTAAAACTGAATCACCAGCACACAAGCAGACAAGTTTTTGCAGTGAAGCAACAGCCCAGGCATATGACCTAACCACTGTACCCCCTGACCTATTCACGCAAATGTTGGGATTAACTGAAAGAAGCACCATTCCGCGAGTGGAAATAGAAAAGTTTGATGGGGAAGTGGCATATTATCGATCTTTTATACGCGCTTTCGAGCACCTCATCTGCAATAAAGTTCAAAGCGATGACGAGAAACTATACTATTTGGAGCAATATACAACAGGCCAGCCTCGAGAGGTTGTTAGAGGCTGTCTCCATATGCCTGAAGACAAGGGATACAAAGAAGCCAGACGTTTGCTCGAGGCAAGATATGGAAATCAGTATAAAATTGCAGCACGATCAGTCGATAGAATCTTGAACTGGCCAGCAATCAAGGTGGACGAAATAGACGCCATGGATGACTTTTCTATCGCTCTTCGCACCTGCTACAATTCCATGGCGGGCATGGTTACAGAAACCTCGGAATTGGATCACCCTAAAACAATACGTAAAATTTTGGAAAAATTTCCGCCGACCATTCAGGACCGTTGGCGTCGGCTTGCTGAAGATGTTCGTGAACACAAGAACAGAATAGTCACCTTTAAAGATTTAGTAGATTTTGTGGAAAGAGAAGCCAGGATTGCGACAAACCCTTTGTTCGGTCGCCACCTGTTCCCCGCCACCAGAGGCAAGCCGGAAGGGCAAAGAAGTGGACCAGCGAACCGTTACAGCCTTGCTGCTCATATTGGTCCAGCTAACCACGGCGGTCAGCCAGTGCCTTGCCTGTGGTGTAAAGCGATGCATCCTCTCGATGAATGCGCCCATTTCGTCCAAAATCCAATGGAGGTGAAAAGGGAGTTTATCCGAAACAATTCGCTTTGCTTCGGATGCCTGGTCCAAGGTCACGTAGCAAAAAGCTGTACAAATCGTAGTGTATGTCGCGAATGTAAAGGGAAGCATGCTACCGCCTTACATTCGCCCCCAGGCGAGGTACAGAGCACACGAAGAACGACGACGTATGAAGCCATAAAAAACGCTAGAGTTGATATTAACAATGAGGCGTCTTTAGCATCGTGTGGAATGGCGATTGTACCGGTTAAAGTAAGGACCAGGACTGGACACTGTGTGGAAACTTATGCATTCCTAGACAATGGCAGCTCGGCTTCATTCTGTACTGAATCACTCTGCAAAAGACTACACGTTTCCGACACAAAGCCCATCACATTGAAGCTCACAACTGTTCATTCACATAAGAAAACATTGCTGAGCAAGAGGATCGACGGACTTATGTTAAGTGACCTGGATGAGAACGAGCATATTCCACTTCCGTCAATCTTCACCCTTAGTTACATACCTGTATCGGAGGACGATATTCCAACATATCATGACATCAGTAAGTTTCCGTACCTCAGTGATATTGATATGCCCCGCATCAATGCTGGAATAGAGTTAATGATTGGGAACAACGTCCCGCAGGCTATGGAACCGTGGGAGGTGCGTCATAGTCAAATGAACGGTCCTTACGCCATACGAACCAAGCTGGGGTGGGTCATCAACGGACCTGTCAGAGACCTCAGAGCGAACGTAATACACGCGAATGGAACACGCGCCGCGGCGTTCCATCACGGGCTCGATGAGACCTTACAAAATATGTATGAACAAGAATTTCCAGAGAAAAATTTTTCCGTCGCAAAGGGGATGTCACATGAAGATCGAAGATGGATGGCAATGGTTCAAGAAAGTTGTAGAGTGAGTGCTGATGGTCATTACGAGATAGCCTTGCCATTCTGCCAGGCGAATCCCGAGCTCCCAAATAATCTGGAGTTGGCAATAAGAAGACTTGAGGGACTCAAAAGGAAACTTATGAAAGATAACCGATTAAGAGAGCACTACACGGCGACTATGACAGATATGCTCTCCAAGGGTTACATAGAAAGGGCACCCGAGCTCGATTCAATGACTAAAGGTGGGAAGAAATGGTATCTCCCACACCATGGGGTGTATCATCCGCAAAAACCACATAAAGTTCGTATCGTTTTCGACGCGGCAGCTAGCTACAAAGGCACGTCCTTGAACGACGCATTGCTACAGGGACCCGACTTAACCAATTCCCTTATCGACGTACTATTACGGTTTCGATGGGCTCCTGTATGCTTTACGGCGGACATAGAAGCCATGTTCCATCAAGTACGAGTACCCGATCGCGACAGAGACTTTTTACGGTTTCTCTGGTGGACTGGTGGCGACTTGACTGATCAGCCAGCTGAATACAGATTTACTGTACATCCTTTCGGAGCCACATCATCACCGGCGTGCGCCAATTACGCCTTGCGAAGGGCCGCCACTGACCACGGATCACACTTCAGCGCAGATACTGTGGAGACCATTCTATACAACTTTTACGTTGACGACTGCCTTAAGTCGGTTGAAACAGGTGACGATGGAATCAGGATCGGTCAAGAGCTGATAGAATTATGCTCACGAGGAGGCTTCAACTTAACAAAGTTTGTCAGTAATTGCAGCGCGCTCTCTCCTCATTTGGACAATGACAAGAGCAATTGTTGCATTGAATTTGATCAGGAAAGGGGTCTTGCACGGAAGGCTCTTGGAGTAAAATGGTCTCTAGACACTGACAGTTTTAGTTTTTCGGCGGCCATAAAAGAAAGGCCCATGTCCAAACGCGGTATTCTCGCAATCGTAGGCTCAGTGTATGATCCGTTTGGTTTGATTTCCCCTTACGTTTTAATCGCAAGACATCTATTGCGAGACCTGTGCAGAATCAAAGTCGGCTGGGATGAATGCATTCCAAAGCCATATCAGAAGCAGTGGGAACAATGGCTAAACGATCTTCTGGTCTTGAACAACATTTCCGTTCCTAGGTGTCTGAGGCCACGGTCTTTCAGGAACGCATTTTGCCAGCTCCATCATTTTTCTGACGGTAGTGAACGCGCCTACGGAACTGTCTCTTATTTCAGAGTTGTCAACGAAGCAGGTGATATTCACTGTGGTTTTGTATTCGGGCGGTCACGATTGGCACCGTTGAAAGGGACGACTATCCCAAGGATAGAGCTAGCCGCAGCAACTTTGGCTGTGAAAGTGAACGCTATGATTCAAAGCGCGTTCCAAACCAAAATTGAGTCATGGTTTTGGACCGATAGTACCACAGTTTTGCGTTATATTCGAAACGAGAAGACACGTTTTCACACGTTTGTTGCAAACCGACTAGCAGTCATAAGGGAAGGCTCTTCGCCGAACCAGTGGAAGTATGTTCAAAGTTCCCTGAATCCTGCAGACATTGCTTCACGTGGAGCAAGTGGGAAAGACATCAGTAAGAACCAGGAGTGGTTCTCCGGCCCCGAATTTCTGTGGAAAGAAAGCCACGAATGGCCTTTGACGCCCAATAATTTGGGGGACATAACAGAAGACATTGAAGTGAAAAGAGAGCGCAAAAAGGAACAGCTTCCGAATACTGATCTGAGAGCGAACTGCACAAACGTCATTACCGTGCTGGACGTACATCCCGTAGAAACACTTCTTAGTTATTACAGCAGCAGATGGAAAGTGGTTAGAGCAATAGCTTGGCTATTGAGAGTTCGTCACAGACTATTATGTAAGGAAGCGCCTAGAGCTACGAGAAGAAATTTGAGCATCGAGGAGATGGAAGCTGGGGAGCGAGAGATAGTGATTCATGAACAAATGGCAAGCTATGCATCGGAAAGGAAACATTTGGCAGCTGGCAGACCTGTTCAACTATCTAGTTCCTTGCAGAAACTTAATCCAATATTACAAGATGGCTTCGTCGTGGTTGGTGGGCGACTCGAACGTGCCTTGCTACCAGAAACGGCGAAACATCCTATCATCCTCCCCGCAAGTTCTCGATATGCCACCATGGTCATTCAGGATGTACATGAGCAATTGGGGCATCAAGGACTGTCCCACGTTCTTACCACAGTGAGACAAAAGTTTTGGATTATACATGGAAATAAAGCTGTGAGAAAGGTTTTGAGTAACTGTCTTCACTGTCGAAGAAGATTTAGTCAGCCAGAGAATCAGAAAATGGCCGATTTGCCTATCGATAGGGTTCAGGCGTTGCAACCTCCATTTACAAGTACTGGTGTCGATTGTTTTGGACCATTCTTCGTCAAACGTGGAAGAGGACAAGAAAAAAGATATGGCATCATTTTTACTTGTTTAGCAATTCGCGCCGTCCATCTTGAGATGGCTGACAATCTCTCGACAGATTCATTTATTTGTGCCTTAAAAAGATTCATTTCCCGTAGAGGCAATGTGCAGGTGATTCGGTCCGACAACGGCACAAATTTTGTCGGAACAAATAACGAATTGAAAAGGGAATGGAGAAAACTGCACTCTTCAGACGCAATCTATAACACACTAGCAAAACGAGGAATCGAGTGGATTTTCAACACTCCAGGTGCCTCACATCACGGAGGGGTGTGGGAGAGAATGATAAGGTCCACGAGAAGAGTCCTCGAATCCTTGCTCTCATCGCAGTTGCTTACGGACGAGACGCTAAGAACTTTCTTATGCGAAGCGGAAAGTATTATCAACAGCCGTCCATTGACTCCTTTAACGATGGACCCCACGGATGCTGAACCGCTCACTCCCAACCATTTACTGTTGCTTGCACCAGGGGGAGATCTGCAAGCTGGAATTTGGCAAGAAACTGATAATATCAGCATAAGAAGATGGAAACAGGCCAGATATATGACAGAACTTTTCTGGAAGAGGTGGCGAACCGAATACCTGCCACTGTTGCAGAGCCGTCCGAGAGCATGGACTCGAAGTAGAGGGAATCTGAAAGAGGGAGACGTTGTACTCCTAGTTGACACAGCAGTACCAAGAGGGCAGTGGCCCATAGGAAGAGTGCAGACGGTAAAAACGAGTCTAGACGGTCTGGTAAGATCGGTTACGATTCTCTGTCGCGGGACACAGTTGACGAGACCTATCCAAAAGTTGGTGAAACTACTATCAGAAGACGAAACATCGTAGGACTGATCCGCAGACACATTGCCCATGATGTCTAGTTACATTGTCAGAAATTGTCAGATGCGGATTGACAATTTAGATATACGGTTGTACACATGGGCATGTTGTATCGCTGCGACGATACAAAGGGGAGGGTGTTATCGGCGAGGATCTTTGTCGATAACCGGCACATGCTGCCGAGCTCGCGATTTTGCTCTTCACTAATTTTATTTGGTTTGTGGTGGATTAAATTTGTAGACCCTTAGAATGGATCGGTAAGGACTTAAGTTATTTATTTGGAAAATTGTATGCTACGTTTTGGTTAAGTTTATTTACGTTATTTGTCTCTGTAAAACGTGCTACGACGTCAAAACAAACACCTGTGACCGAAACGAACAACGAAAACGATACGAAGAAGCGATTTGAGACAAAGCGACCCGCGTCTGTATGATATTCTTGGTGAGTAGTTGTTTGCGTTATTTTATGTTGTTATTTCTGTTACATTAGGTGACCTGATGGCTTATGTGTATGTGTAAGCTTGTGTTTGTTCGAAATTGCGTCTGAATTTAAGTTTTATTTGTTTGTCGTCTTTTGTATTGTCATGATTTTGTTTGTCCGACAGAAACCGTTGAAATACATGTAGTACGTTCATCGCGTTAGTCAAGAGGACGTGGGGCCGCTACAATTAGACTGCCTACAAGAACAAGTTCTACCACGATCAGCTCCAAAACAGCTGAAGAGAAATGCGCACCCATTTCCAGAAAGTGCTAGAGCGTACTTGGAAGACGCGGTACGTAGCCTTCGTGACCACCGTAACGTTTTGCAGAGCAGACTGGGTGGTATTCAGCTGCCTCATCATATGGTTGAGATTCTTCAACAACAAGCTGTGGATCATCGTGCGCATCTTCAGGCGTTGGTGACCCAGCTCTGTGAAGAGAGCGCTTGGAAGAATGTGGGAAACCGTGATTTGATAACAAACTTGTCGAGCAGAGCTCTCTCTGAAACTGAAACTGAAGTCTTGTCGCTAGGTCTGAAGTTCGCGGTGGGATCTAATAAGCAGCCTCTGGTAGAAACAGTTATGAAAAACTATAGATACAACGATACTGATATCGACAAGGGCTTTATCCAAGGGCTTACGACCAGCTGCGCAGCATTCTCCAAGCACACGAACTCTTCTATGCCTCGACGGTATCTAAGCGCACTCAAAGATCTTGCTAAAGACGAAAGCATAATTGTGACCACGGCAGATAAGGGAGCTGGAGTAGTATTAATGGACTATGATAACTACAAGACTAAAATGTCCGATTTACTGAGCGACACTTCTACCTACAAGGAAGTACCCAAGGGCAGCGCAGAGAAGGACGCCAAGCGCTTCAATCAAAAAGTGAGGAAGATTCTGAACGGCTCCACAGAGGGTAAGAAGCTTCAGTATCACCCCAAGTATGTATGGCCTTCCAAAAACACATAAGTCGGGGAACCCAATGCGCCCTATAACCTCGGGTGTGGGAAGCGCGCCGCATCAGCTGGCCAAAAAGCTTGCTAAGCCGCTATCGGACCTTTTGGGAAAAACAAGCGGAACCCACCTTCGAAACTCTGGTGACTTGCTGAACAGAATAAAGGATGAAAGAATGAATGACAAAAAACTAGCAAGTTTTGATGTGAAATCGCTTTTCACAAATGTCCCCTTACAAGATGCCATGGAAGCAGTAAGACGAGCACTGGACGATAACCAGGACATTGCACTGCCAGTGCCGAAAGCGGACTTCATTCGCCTAGTCCGACTTTGCGTTGAGTTTGGCGCCCTGGAATTTGAAGGCAATGAATACAAACAAATAGACGGTCTGGCGATGGGCTCCCCTCTTAGTCCTGTGCTCGCGTGTATCTTCATGGAAACGTTAGAAACGGATCATTTTCTGAACATCGTCGGTCAAAGCACCACATGGCTAAGGTACGTGGATGACATTCTGGTTATAGTGAACAAGCAACAAGATTTAGACAGTGTTCTTCGAAAGCTCAACGACGTGCACCCGAAAATACAGTTCACCTGCGAACAGGAACAAGATGGCAAGCTCCCTTTCCTAGACACACTGATTTGGAACCGAGAATCAAGACTGATGTTTTCCGTATACCGGAAACCGACCAACAAGAATGACTTTATCCATTTTTATTCGTCGCACAGTCAAAGAACGAAGACTGGAGTCGTTTTGGGATTTTATCTCAGAGCGTTTCGCATCTGTTCAAAGGAATATTTACAGAACGAGCTAGAGTACATTAGGACAACTTTTACCAAACTCAGCTACCCTTTGGGTCTTCTCCTTCAGCTAGAAAAGAAAGCTATAAAGATCCGCTCAAGATCCTCCAATTCAAATGCCACGAAAAGAAAGGAATATATATCAGTACCTCTGTCAGAATAATCTGAAGTGATCACAAGCTTTACCAGGGGAGCCTTAAACATTACATCTCCATCGGGTTCAACAATTAAGGATATTTTACGGCGCAAGAAGAAAGCAAGCAACCAAAACAGTGTGGTTTATAAAATTCCATGTGGCGTTTGTGAAAAAAGCTACATAGGGGAAACATACAGGGGTGCAGCTAAACGGGTAGAGGAACACAAAAGAGATTTGCGGAATCACCAAGAATCTAACGCCATAGTGCAGCATGTGGATGACGCGGGGCATTTGCCAAACTGGTCGGCGATGTCAAACCTATGCGTGGGATTAAATAAGCGTAACCGACAGGCGGTGGAAGCAGCGTTTATTTCTACGATTAGTAATTTCAATGGGAATTCGGGTAAAGTAAAACTCAGCAAGCACACTGCTCAATTAATTTTGAAAAATGATTTCAGGAAGTAGGGGTTCCGGGCGAAAAGCAGTGTAACGTTTTCAGTCATGTATAGAATTGCTAATCTGTGAGTGTCTGTGAACGTCCCCATTCGACCCCGTTCGACCTCGATTGTATTTCGATATAGGTAGTTATTTTTATATGGTGTGACCAAGGGATTATTCCCGAAACACATGTGTAACCAATTTTAATATAAAAACAACACGTTCCCATTGCCTTTCCCATTTATATCAATACGTCTATGTAATAATAATCACGGAAATCGAGATGGCCATTAGATTGACGGTCTTCAAGCATGAAATTATGGTGGAAAACATGGCTCATAGAAGCCTCTCAATGAACCAACTATTTTGCATTCCTTCAGGGTTAACAGTTCTGAGAAAATCCCTCAAAATCCATCTCGGATCCATGATTCGTGGCCATGGATCCGAGATGGATCTTGAGGGATTTTCTCAAAACTGTGAACTCTGAGGGAATGCAAAATAGTTAGTTCGTTGAGAGGCATCTATTAGCCATGTTTTCCACCATAATTCCATGCTTAAAGTCCACTAATCTAGTGGCCATCTTGATTTTCGTGTTTGGTCGTCTGGGATCCGTGCCCATGTCTGGTTATTAGCTCCCTGGCATGACGAAAAAAATCGCTGCCAAAAGCACAAATGAGCTTTAGTTATGCCAGCCTCCCACTCGTGGTTCTGTTTTTGAAGATGTCACCTTTTCCAATGCTTGCTGACCATGCCAGGAGGCAGATTCTGGGTCGATATACCACCTATCCTGGAGTGTCATGAATCATTCCCAATCATTCCAGCTCTATTTGTGGATTAGATTTCCCACGAGGGTGCACATCCATAAAGTCATAGCCATGGACGTTTGATAATGTGCCTGGTTGGTCTTTCCGCTGACCAAATATACGGTCCAATGTAGAGCCCCAGAGCTACCGCTGTTCTGATGCTCCACATCACACCGGGACAATACATCAAATAAAGGCACCAGCACCATGCACTCAGCGGCTGCACAAGGATATAACACTCGGTGTCCTCACCGGCACACTGCACCCAGGGAGGGCGCAAACACATACGTCCCTTCCGATACGCACTTCCGCGCCGCCCCAATAAGAACGAACTAAAACAAGATTATATGCTGAATCTGTTCCATTGTTTTAAAAAAAAACTGCAATCTGCATGGGCTAACCAGAATAACTGCAATGTCCTGCACATATGTATGCACATCAGAAAGACAAACAAATACTCACTCTGCACTTACTTTTATGAGCACAAGTGATTTCGTATAGTTCCAACGTTTTCGGAAAGTCAATCGCATTCATATTCAAAATACGTTGAAACTTGAAATGACCTTGAACTACGTAGTCCTAAAACGATCTCGTTCTATTTTTAGAACCACACAATAGGGCGTCAGTGTTAACTATTTGACCCGAAGGCAGTCTCAGACCAATGCGCCGAGCATGATTTGGACCCCGCGCTCCTATCCGGTCGCGAGGTTTACGTTTTAGCCGGCGGTGCATGACTGTGAGCCGTCACTCAGGAGCGCGGACTGACAGCAAAACTGGCGGTGATGGGCGGTGGCGGTCGGCGGCGGCGGCGGGTGACAGCGGGAGGCGGCGGGGGCGGGGGCGGGGGCGGGGGCGGTCGCGGCCCGTCGCTCCTGGCACATCCTCTGGCCAGCGCCGGACACAATTAGCCGGCTGATACGGACCACAGATAGCGAATAAAGAAGGGAGGCGGGTCGACCTCGACGCACCCCAACCGCCTCCACCATTGTGGCCGCTCCTCTGGAATTGACAACCAAGTCGCGTCGGAGGGGTGGTTCTTCAATAACATGTCATTGATCGTGTTCATTATTTAATGAACACAACAATCATTATGCACTATGAGCTACCAAATCGGGATACATGATATGTATATCTTGCCGAAACACTGCCGTTTTCAGCATGACAAGGAATCATACATTTTCGCATGTGCCGATCTGCACTCTCCATGTCTATACTGTTCACATTGACCACCACTTTCCCCCACACCCTCAGTATCATGTTTGGCAGGGATAAGGCTCTGTACCCGGGCTCTGTGTCAGGCTGAGAGAGCGGGCGGCCCCACGCCGCGGCACCTTGGCTGGCGACGCTCGGGGCTGCGCGCTTGGCGGTTCTCCCCGCGGAGCTGGCCCAGCTACCTGGCCCAGTGGCCGGCCGGCTGCCTTGGCCGCCCTCGGTCCGTCGCGCCGCTTTACAACTTCCGGACCGCGGCGCTGGCCAGAACTGTGGTCGGGACACGGGACCATCAGGGTCAGTGGGTTGGGACACGGGTCCATCAGAGTCAGTGGGTTGGGACAGGGGACCATCAGGGTCAGTGGGTTGGAACAGGGGTCCATCAGGGTCTGTGGGTCGGGATAAGGGTCATGGTCTGTGGGAGGGACAGGGGTCCATCAGGGTCTGTGGGAAGGTTATGGGTCCATCAGGGTCTGTGGCTGGGATAGAAGTCCATCAGGGTCTGTTGTTGGGACAAGGAAGGGTCCATCAGGGTCAGTGGGTCGGGACAAGTGTCTATCAGGGTCTGTGGGAGGGCTGGGGTCCATTAATTAAGGTCTGTGAGAGGGGCAGGAGTCCATCAGGGTCTGTGGGAGGGACAGATGGCCCCAAGGGTCTGTGGGTCGTGGCAGTGGTCCACCAAGGTTTTTAGGTCGGGGCAGGCAGTTATTCCACAAGGTCTTTGGGTCAGGTCAGTGATCCACCGTAGCCTGTTGTTTCGGAGAGTGGCCCAGAAAGGCATATGGGTCGGGAGAGTGGTGGTTCGCCAAGGTTTGTGGGTCAGGACAGTGGCCTACTAGGAGTCTCTGGGTCGCGATAGCGCTTCATTTAGTCCGTGGGCGTGAAAAGCGGTCCAGTGACATTTCTCGGTCGGTACTTCAATGGATTGAGGTCCATCAGATGTTTGTGAATATTTCGAGAAGATATTACTGAGTCAGAGTGAGCCAAATACGACTCTGGTACTGGTGGTTCTCTATTTCTTTTTTAAATACTTTTATCACGCTTATTTATAACAACCGAGCCTAATTTTGCAAATTAACCATCAAACTCGCAACCTCATTTTCATTGCATGCCATTCAGTAAAAAAAAAAAATGTGGTCGAGAACTTAGTTCATTAACAACAGACAACAACAACAACAACAAAAGACTTAATATCCCCTCCACCAAAATGTCAAACGACTCACAACTCATTCAAAATGCAAAACAACTTAACCTACGTCCTAGATGTTTCGGGCACAGAGCAGAAGTCACCTAACAACTCAACATCGAGGCCATGCCGAGTTGTTTATTTAACCCATTTATGCCCAGGAATATTGACCATCATGAAAATCGACGAAATCAAAATATGTTATGCTCCTACCAGGGCCTTGTATGGAATCGAAAATAATTTTTGCCTGCAGCAAAAGTTTCTCGAGAAAAACGTAAAAAACATGCGTTGCGAAATCGCAACGAAGGGCACACCGGGCGCCATCAGCGTTGCGAAAACGCAACGACGGGCACATCAGACGGACATAAAGTACACTGAACTGCCGTATATGCTAATATGTTTTGACAAAACATCAATCAACTGTTGACAACTATTGCTTGAAAATGCGGAACCCACATCCGTCATGCTCTATAACCCGTCTAAGAGCCTCAGTGAGGAAGCATAACTTCATGATTCGCGAACGGGGAGATGGCAACACGGTCATTATCAACCATTTACGTTGTCCATTGCTGTTCATTTAAAGTTGTGGTCGACACGTATCCAGGGTGATGCTTTCTTTTTGGAAGCTAGACAGATCCATTACCTCCACCTATCAGACCCTGCACAGTGCACACTGAATACAATTAAACGGAGGATTGGGAGTAAACCAGTGCCTCTCGTATGCGCGTATATCCGCAATCATTTTTAACCACCCTCCTAGGAGTAAAGTTAAATTCCATTGCAGGTTAGTCGTACCCACTCTCAGCAAAAAGAAAAAAGGACCGATCCGGCTCTAACAAATTACCCGCGTAAGGCGTAGCGCATCACAACAAATCGACTCCCAGTTTATCATGTTTACACCTAATCCAAAATTTTCATGGCCCCACTCTCAGCGACCTTCACGTGTAACCTCTTTCTCGAGACAATGCCAGGAGAGAATGGTGATTCGACGTCAATCCGTCCTTTCCATCTTCAGGATAGTTGAATCCTCCTCCACGCCTCATCCCCCTGTTCCGGGCTGGACCGGCAACGTATATCGCAATCGGGCAGCTCACATAGGAGCGCGCATGTAGCCGGGTGCAGTGAGTGCTTGGGAGGGGGGAAGGGGGTGGGTCATGGGTGGCGGCTGCCCACTGGCTGGGCTCAGTCTCCAGTCTACGATTGACCGTGTCCGGTCAGACAAATGTGTCCCCTAATTCCAATAATCCTGCTAGCTCTAAAAATGGTCTGATTAGATGGTCTGATTAGAGGCGTATACTCCACATCAAGCAGCTTATGAATCTATGCGAGTTATGAATCCTAAAAATTATTATTTTCCCATGGGTCCGCCCTCATTACCCCTGCCGAAGGGCTCAGCTACCCTCAGAGGGGGCCTATCCCACTATTTGCCGACCCTCAGTTATCTTTTCTAACGTAAATGCTGGTAGTCAGCAGATTCTATCCAGAGAATGGCGATGCCTATCTGTCGCCTGATACCAGAATACATCCCCGTTATTCATTATTTATGCACAATGTACATAGTAGATCCAATTTCCAAAGGACCTAATTATCTCTCAGCTCCATTAGCACGCCGACCGTTTCATGCATGGGTCCTTTTCCTACCATGCGATTTTCAGATGCATGGGAACACATTGCTTAGTGAACGAACAGCCCGAGGCCGAAAATCTGCGAGAGAAAAAGAAAGGAGTGTTTGTGGCTGTTTGAGCCAGCAAATATGAAATGTGTCGCAACATTTTACGTGCGAACGCACCTTGCACTAAACATACCTAATACCTATATACGTCCCTCATGGCATAGGCGGCGGAGCGGGGGAGGGGGCACCGGGGCAAAAAGTCAGCAGTGCTCCCCCCCCCCCTTAATTGAAGATGTTCCGCCGCTACAGCCTCATGGCTACAAAATGAGAGAGAGAGAGAAAGAAAGAGAGAGAAAGAGAGAGAGAGAGAGAGAGAGAGAGAGAGAGAGGGGGAGAGAGTTGGGGAACGAGGTGGA